CCAAGAGGAGCGTGGGGCCCAGCGGCTCATAGGCCAGCAGGCCCAGGTCAGGAGGTTGGGGAGCCCGGGCAGGCCCAGAGCCAGGCCCCGGGGCACGCAGTGGACCCAGCTTGCTGGCATGCACCTTCATGTGATTCTTAAGGAACCAGGGCTCCTTGAAGCAACGGCCACACACGGGACACGCATGATCAAAAGAGGCCTTGTGCTTGCGCATGTGGCCCTTGAGAAACCAGGACTGGGTGAAGCTCTGGCCACACACTTGACAACGGAACTCTGGAGGCGCAGGGGGTTCCTCAGGAGCAGCAGGGGCTGGGGTTGCCTCACGTTCGGGCTCCACCTCCGGCTCCGGCTCCGGCTCCTGCTCGGGCTCAGGGACTGATCTGGGTTCAGGTTGGGGTGGAGGTTGAGGCTGCGGGGCAGCCGAGGTGGCCGCCAGAGGGCGCTCAGGAGCTCCGTGGGCCGTCAGGCTGTGGTGCAGCAGCTCCTCCTCCTGGCTGGAGCCGAAACTGCATAGGCCGCACTTCCAGGGCCTGTGCAGGATGTGCAGGTGGCGTTCCCGCTCCGCTGCGGTGCGAAACTTGCCTTTGCAGAAGGGGCAACGGAAGGTGGATGCTGATGGAGCCTGGGGCCGCACCAGGCTCTCAGTGGCAGGAGTGGCCTGCAGGCCCCCTGAGCTTCGGGCTCTTCCTAACCGGGCCTCGCGCAATAGCGCGCGTTCCTCCAACTCCAGCAACAGGCGTGCGGCGGGACTTCGCGGGCGCTCTGGCTGGTGCGTGCGCAGGTGCGAGCGCAACAGGGCCCGCTGAGCTGCACGGTGGCCGCAGTGTGGGCATTGGAAGGCCTGGGCGCCTGGGTGCGCCCGCAGGTGCAAAGCCAGGATAGAATTGAAGCGGAAGCGCTTTCCGCATACAGGGCAGGGAAAGCGCCTTTCGCCAGCGCGACTCTCAGACCAGCCCACCGCTCCCATTCCTGGAGACCCTGGTCCGTTGGAGTAGCGCTGCAGATCCAGTTCTCCGTCGAAGGCCGGCGGTGAGGGCGCTAAGTGGCCGCCCAGGGCGCGGGGACGTGAGCCCTGTGGAGAAGGATGTATATAGAGCAAAGGGTGGAGAAAGGAGAGCTGTGTGGGGTAAGGACATGGAGACCCATAGAACCCAAGGGAGGGTGGATAGGGGCCTACACCAAGTACACCCGGCACCCTTCCCACTCAACTTAGGGAAATTGGAGGATAAATGGGAATTGGGCTGTTGGGGAAACGGAGATAACTTATAATAAGGGCGGGTCAGAAAGTGAGAGAGGTAGGGAGGGGCAGGAAGTATAGTTGTAGGTACTTGCAGGTTCAGGCCAAGCTCCACTCACCTCCATGGACCCCTTTCACATTCTTTGGTTCTGGGGAGTTCAGGGAAGAGGAGGAGGAAAAGCTGCTAGTGAAGGCAACAGGTGCTGAAGAGCTAAAGCAAAAGAGATAGATTTGGAGGAAAAGATAAGTCCTGATTTTCAGCAGTGGAAATAGTCACTCCCAACTCAAGACTTTTAGCACCCTGTACTCCTGAAACCCTTCTCCCTCCTTGCATCCTGAGGCAGGAGGCGGCTGCTGTCTCCAGAACTTGTACTCCTTGATTTGCCAATGCCCAAGCTTCCTGAGAACATAGATTTCTTCCCCCAAACACGTTCTAAATGCCTGGTCCAGAACAACCACAACCATCACCACCACCACCCCCTGGTGGTGGGGGAGACAATCACAGTATAGCCCTCCCTCCTTTAGATTGGGGTGTGCAGCTTGATGAGCAAATGGGGTGGGCTTGCCATGCTCCACAGTTATCCAAGTGGGAACAGTTGCTCTCAGATACCTAACTGACCAGCAAGCCAAACATCCTTCCAGGCTCCACAGTCCTTCCTTTGCTCTTACCCTATCTTTCTGTCTTTCCCCCTCATTCTCCCTCCCTCTGCCTGGATTCCTGATCCATTCATTTCCATTCATTACAGAGACTCATTCATGCATGGGAGAGAAACACCTCCCAGCAGCAGCAGTCTGGAGACAGACAGAGGGGGAGGGGCACGAAGGGGGAGAGAGCCAGAAGGAGAGGGAATGAAGAAAGAGTTGGGGGAGGAGTGGAAGTTAAGGGGCGCTGCTGGCCTGGGGAAGGGGCTAAAAACTGCAAATACCGGATAGGATTCATTCCCGTGTTTCAAACCTTGGAACCTGCAGTTTGCTGGGGCATCTCAGCCCCTTTGTCCAGGGCTGTTCCGAAGCAGGCTTTTCTCCTCTCTGCAGGGGAGAGGCTCGCTCACACAAGAGGAGGATTACACTGGCTCTGAGCTCAAGAGGCTGGAGTGAGGGACGGGGGGCGGGGCTGGGCCATCTGCACAGATAGGGGCTCAGCACATGCTCTGAGCAGAAAAGGGTTAAAATTCTCCAGGCTAAAATTCCCTGGGCCTGGATGTGCAGAGGTCCAGTTCTGAGGAAGAAGAGAACTGAGAGGAAGAGGATTGGCGGGGGGGTTGCTCCTGAACATAAGCTGCAGAGGAGGTTAGCATTAAGACATAGAAGCCATCCCAGAATAAAGATTCATGGAAATAGGCCTGGGAGGCTGACCAGAAGTCAGTCAGTATACCTTCCTGCTTACATATATAATTTTATCTGGTCAAGGCTAGACAAATGTGGACTTAATAATTTTTTTTTTTGCCTGAAATAGAAAGAATATTTGATATATAAAGAACTTTCTTACAATAGGCATGAAATGGGTTACTAAGCAAGAAAAAGACTCAAGCATTACTTTGCTTAAGGATCTTTAATGGAAGAAAATTGGGCCAGAAGTCAGCCCTGCTTATCAGCAAAGAAAAGCTCTGGAGGTCCAAGTTTCTTTAATTTTTGATATTTACTGGATGTGATAACACTCCATGAATGGGTCCTGGCAGCATGACTCAGTGGTTAGAACACTGGCCCGTGAACTGAAGGATTCCAGGTTCGATTCTGATCAAGGGCATATAGCTAGGTTGCAGGTTCCCCACCCCGGTTGGGGTGCATGTGGGAGGCAACCAATTGATGTGACTCTCTCACATCAATGTTTCTTTCTCTCTCTTTCTCCTCTCTTGCCCTCCCCACTCCCTTCCACTCTCTCTAAAATCAATGGAAGAACTATCCTTCAGTAAGATTAGCAACAAAAACAATCAACCAGTGAGTGCATAAATGGGTGGAACAACAAATCCATGTTTCTCTCTAAAATTAATAAATAAAATTAAATAAAAAATGGCCCTAGCCGGTTTGGCTCAGTGGATAGAGTGTCGGCCAGCAGGTCAAAGGGTCCCAGGTTCGATTCCGGTCAAGGGCACAGACCTCGGTTGCAGGCTCCTCCCCAGCCCAGTCAGCACGTGTGCAGGAGGCAACCAATCAATGTTTCTCTCACATCGATATTCCTCTCTGTCTTTTGCTCTCTCTTTCACTCTCTCTGAAAATCAATGGAAAAATATCCTCAGGTGAGAATTTAAAAAATAAATAAAAAATGAAAAGAAAAGATTATTTATAAAAAATTACTCCCTTGGCCAGCTAGGCTCAGTGGTAGAGCATTGACCTATGAACCAGGAGGTCATGGTTTGATTCCTGGTCAGGTTGCATGCCTGGGTTGTGGGCTTGATCCCCAGTGTGGGAGTGCAGGAGGCAGCCAATCAATAATTCTCTCTCATCATTGATGTTTCTATCTCTCTCTCCCTCTCCTGTCTTCTCTGAAGTCAATTATATATATATTTAAATATATTTTAAAAAAAAAGACTCCAAGAGCCAGCAGGTACCTGTTACATGTGGAATCTGGGTTAAGGGAATTTTATTAACAAGAGGTTAATTAAGAAAGTGTCCTTGTCCAAGGGTCACTAAACAATCTCCACCACTTTTAATATTTGTATTTCTGTAGCTCCAAATTAGTGCATCCACCCTCATCTTCTGGATTCTAAAAAAAAAAAATCCCCTTTCTGGGACCAAGAGTGTAGCCCAGGCTCACTGAGTAGCATCATGAAAAGTGTAGAATAAGACCGAAGGGTTCAAGGCTATTGTGGGCCCAATCAGACCATTAAAAGCCATGCAACCTTCCGTAAATCACTTAACATCCCAGCTTACTCATCTGTAAAATAAGGGGATTGAACAAATTTATATAGATGGTTCCTTCCCGCTAGAAAGTTGTGTAGTTCTGAGTCACAAGACTTCTGGACCCCAAGTGGAGTTAAAACAAATGGTCATCCCTTCAGTACCATGGAGAGTGCAGTGGGCTACCAGAGGAGCCACTGTGGCCACCTCATACCTAGCGAGAGCTATGAAGTGCTAGAGGGGCCACATTTGACATTTTAACACCACAATTAAGGCACTGAGAAAAGCTAGATTTTTAAAAATTCTTCTCTGGAAGCCATGGGGGAGGGAGGGGAGAACAGCGATACCAGAGGGTTTATTTTTGCCTTTTGGATGACACTGAAAATAGATGTAACAAAATAGATATAACTAGAAGAATTTTAATTAGCTATAAGGAGTGTCCTGACAGTTACAGTTTGTACATCCTGGAATGAGTGAGTGAGGCATCGTATTTGGGTCCATCACATTCTGTTGCTCTCCTGGGGATTCCCGGAACATCCTGGTGTACAGCCAATCTGGTATATTCAGAGGAAGCAGATGGTGGGGGAGGAGGGGGAAGGCTGGGAATACTGCATGGTCATAGCTGACTAACCTATGGGCGCATACTCTGATTCTGAGAAGATTCTAGGGCCCCTGAAACTGCCTGTAGGATAGTAAGCAAAATATTTCAGGGGAAGTTGACCTCATATCTGAGGCAAGTAGAGTTGGAATAGGGCAAAGCTTTCTCCCCCACCCCACCCTACCTCCAAAAAAAACACTGCTTTGTACACAGCCGTTTCTAGGATAGAAATACGGTCATATATAAGAAGACCCATATTGAAACTATATTCCTGAGCAGGGAGACTTTCCCCAAAGGGTGGCCTCAAATCAATAAACCCACTGAGAGACCCTCTAGGCACAATCAAGATCTGACTCACCTCCACACCAAATCAAGTCCCAGGCACCTAATCCGATGAGTTTTTCTCAATAGGAGAAAACAGTGACAGGGCCCAAGATTCTATGAACTGGCTTAGAACCCAGGTCATGCACATATTGCTTGTGGGCAATAATCTCTATAGTCAGGCCCTAACCACCATCCGGGAGACTTGGCCAGACAGTAGCACTGACCTACTTTCCTCCCACACTGGGAATCAGGGGTTATCTTGCCCTTATTTGGGTTCTATAGGGATGCAAGGCCAGGGATAGGGATCAGACATCTTCCCAAAGCAACAGGCCAATTACTTTTATGTGCGAGGAGAGCTGGTGGAGAAGGGGGTGTGGACCACCAAACCTTACCGAGTAGGAAAGGATGAAAAGTTTGGTGAGAAGATTCTTGGAAACAACAGGGACGGGTACATAGAAACGTCTGCTGGCTGGAGAACCATGATATTTGTCCCTCAAGCCTTGTGGTTCAAAAGTTTGTAGGGTCAAAGTGTAAGGGGCAAGGGTTCAGAACTTCTGAGGTATAGCTGTGGCTAGGCATCTCTCACTGATAATTTCTAATACTTGATGTCTTTCCCTCTGTGGGGATTCCTACACCTCCACACGCCCTCTAACAATTATTAACACTGCATTAGACGGGGTTAAAGAAAAGGAATTTCTTAGAGGGTCTACAGTCAAGACCACCTTTATCAAACATCCCAGTAGTTCTTTTTATGGTCTCCTCTCCATAGCCCTCTGAACATCACTGCTCAGGTGGCTCCTCCAAACTGACCCCAGACCACAGCTTGCCCACCTTTTACATTGAGGGCACACTCTCCTGAGTTGGGGGCATGGAATCTCAGTCATGAACTCCAAAAAGGGAGCAGGAGGCAAGAGGAAGGTACACCTGCTCCCCTACGGCCACCCCACCACAGCGAGCCTTACTCCACAGGCACGTCCCAACCTGACCCCTCTTCTGAAAGTTCTAGATTTGTGGGAGGGGGCATAGAGCAAGCCCTAAGTTCCCTTAACTGGAACTGACCCTAAAAGGTCAGAGTCTTAGCACCCATAGGGGCCCCAGTCCTGGGATGAGGGGATGGGGTGGGCAGGAGAGCCTCTGGGAAAATCCACCTCCCACAAGTAGGTGGGCAAGTAGGGCAGGACCTGTGATCCTGCACAAGAGGTGCTCTGAGCGGCACCCCAGACCCCTCCCCGGGAAGATAAGCCAGAAGGATGATGGGGGGCAGGGTTGGAAGCCTGGAAGGCCAGGGCTCAGCTACCCAGGCCGGGAGAACAAAAGCTGAGTTGCAGCCGCCTCTGCTGCTGCCGGCGGCCGAGCTCTTTGTGACACTTTGTTTGGGACGCAGAGAGGGAAGCACCCCCCATCCTCTCCCCTCCCCCACCCCTGCTCCCAGAGAGTTTGGGTCCCTTCTCCCTCCTCCATCAGCCCTACCTGGGGAGGGGGGGGGGCGGTCATCCACTCAGGCTCCCGGCTGTGCAGCCCTGCACCCCAGGCCCCTCGCGCCCTGCCTTCGGGCCCCTACAAAGA